AGCCATTTTGCCAGCACTTTTTTAGGATTTTACCAGCGCATTAAAGTAAAATTCAAAATATTAAAGTAACAACAGTTGATTGGCTTCCTTGTTTTTACCGACTTAGCTACTCTTGAAGTGCAAAGGATAATTTTCAATTCCCGTTAGAAGTTGGTATTTTTAATAGCATCACTTTAATACAGACAGTTCTTTAATATTGATCCTTTCTCACACGAAATATTTTATAAAAAACCTGGTAAAAAAGCTTTTATAGCGCGTGATAATATAAACCTTTCACTCAATTAAAATGACAAAAATACAAACAAGTTAGAGTTATAGACCATGCATGTATTATAAAGTTGGTATATATAAATGATGTTTCAACGCATGCATGTGTGTCTATTCGTTCATGTTTAAACTGTAAATTAAACTGACACTCAGTGAGGGAATTTTAGTACGAGTAAAAATCCTACGACTCTATCCGCGTTTTCGCTCGAGTTTTCGCTTGCTCTGAGATTCAATATTGTTGGCCGTCTATAATATGGCATAGCATACCGAGCATACTAGCCTACATATAAGAAGGTCGCACACGACGACGCGGTACTAGGCTATATGTCCTGACTCCTATATATATCATTATGGAGGTACTGACACAGTATAGGCTATAGCACGAAAGATTGCATACACTACAAATTATTCTCTTTTAGGCGGATGCGCCAGTTTTATATTTATAAACAACAAGTTGATCTTCTGCTGACATGTTTGTATTGAATCAAAAGGTTTTTTATAAAATATTTCGTGTGAGAAAGGATCAATATTAAAGAACTGTCTGTATTAAAGTGATGCTATTAAAAATACCAACTTCTAACGAGAATTGAAAATTATCCTTTGCACTTCAAGAGTAGCTAAGTCGGTAAAAACAAGGAAGCCAATCAACTGTTGTTACTTTAATATTTTGAATTTTACTTTAATGCGCTGGTAAAATCCTAAAAAAGTGCTGGCAAAAATGGCTAAAAAGTGCTCAAAAAGTCGGCTCAAAATCTCAAAATAGTGCTCAAAAAGTGCTAAAATTGTGAACAGTTACCTCTAAGATTTTCGTAAATTTTTTAAAATCAGCATTTTTTAAAATCTGTTTCCACGTCTTTCTCCATATATGGAACAAACTTCCGTATATGGAGTTGTTTACGACAAAAAAAAAGAGAACTCGAAAAAGTCAGCGTTCTAATTTTTTAACTGTAATGTCATATGCAGCTGTACGGCTTTTCTTTTGGAGTTATACCTAAATTATATATAAAATAATAGTATAATACCCGTCAATTTTTAAACCTTACTCCGAACTGTATGTTTAGTTAATCGAGGTACGAATCGAATTCTATAATCGCTGACTTTTTGTTGCTCAAAATTCGCTCGAAATGTGAAATATTGCTCAAATGTTGCCCAAAGTGCGAAAAAGTGCTCAACGTTGCTCAACATGCAAAATGGTGCTCCAAACAAAAAAAAGTGCTCAAAAAGTGCTCAGCGCAATCGGGAAAGGCCTACTAATAATGAAAAATATGACCTTAGAAATAACGGAATTAATTTTCAACTGGATAAACCTAAGACTAATTTCCTCAAAAAAAGTATTAGCTACTCAGGGGCAAAATGCTGGAATAATTTGCCAAATGAGATTCAAAAGAAATGACGATGGGACACAATATTTTGTATATATTCTCTTAGACTTTAACTGTGTGATAATTTATATTATATTATATTTTAGATGTAATTTTTATTAAACTTTGTAAATATTAGTTTAAACGGCCTCTTGAAAAACGGATCATAGGTGTTCTGAAGAGCTACCGTTTTAAAATATTTGTAAATAATAATAATAAATTGATATTTCCTTTCCTGTTCATTAATACTGAAAAATTTGTATTTTCCGATGTATTTTTGTACGACACGACTTTGTTTATCTGATTGTCTCGCTTTATGAAACATATAAACCTTTATATTTTTCGCTGTGTAATATAAATAAACTCTGTATCGTCTATGAAGAACAAATTTTGCACTCGCTCGTTCGTTTAATTTGCGAAAACAGATTATAACGCGTGCGTAAATACCACACGTAAGTATTTCCCATGAAAAATCTCTATATACTATCCGGTTATCCGGTTATCCGGTTATCCGGTTATCCGGTTATCCGGTTATCCGGTTATCCGGTTATCCGGTTATCCGGTTATCCGGTTATCCGGTTATCCGGTTATCCGCTACCCGGGTTTTCTACCATGCCCCTTAACATGCCTTACAGCCATATTCGGTTGTAAATCTGATTGGTCTATGAGACAAAAGATTTTTTAATCTGTCATTTGATTGGTTGGTGCTAATTAGATATTTATACTATTGTTGATGATATATTTTATAGTGAGCACAACTATAATTAGATTGTTGTTGTCGTTGTGTGAAATTTAAATTTCTCCTGCGACATTTTGATTGGATACTAAATATAAACTTTGCTGTGGGTGGAAAGCTATCACATTAATGTTTGTGTCAGGCTATATTTGTAAAATAGAGCCTGATCTCTGGTTAGTGGCGAGCTAGTCATGGCAACTGGTCATGCTATGCCTATGCTGATAAACATGCATCTATTTGAATGAAGCAAATCATTAAAAACTTGCATAGCATGACCTGTTGCTATGACTATTTTCACCACTGACAGCATTATAATTATACATACAAAAGCAAGAAGTTATAAGCATTGAAGGTATTCATGCAAAACCGCCCATGCCAAAAAATTAGAATTCCTGCCCCCTGAACGCCTTAGGGGCTGTTTACATAATGGAAGGTGGGATGTTTTTGTTGTATTGAAATAAGTCACTGGGCTAAACAAAAGTTTAAATGCTGGTTAACCGAACTCAAATGTTGTAGAGAAGATCTTGTGTTCAAGAAGATTTTTATTGGTGCTTGAAAAAACCTTTCGTTTACAAAATGTTTAGGAATGAACTTTCCCTGAGCCTCATGCTAATAGTATATTTTGTGTTCAATATAAAGACCACAGTAAGACTTTTTTTAAATGTGTTTATTACATTAACAAACGACGTTTCGGAGATTTACTCCATCTTCAGACTTCAGGTAGTTAATAGGATTAAAAAAGTCTTACTGTGGTCTATATATTGAACACAAAATATACTTTCGTTTTCAGTTAACTAAACCTATCTCTAGAAAATAATGAAGTTTTTGTTGAATCGTTCACCATGACTTCTTTCAATACATCGAATTCATCCGCCTCGTAGCTTGTCCTGGCAAAGCGGGACCATATAAACAGCCCCTTATTCAGCAAATTGTGCATGCTGCCTTTGATCCCTTGGGGGTGAGGCAGCACTTTCCTTGCGATAGTAACTTCTAGTATCAATGTATTTCCATTTCTTGTCCGACTGTGAGCTCGAAGTGACTTAATCCCAACCGGAAATACGTCTGAAAACCGTCAAAACAATGCGACGTTTGTATCATATGACCCTGGAAAGGCCAGAAATGGTTCGCAAGGTCAAATCAGTGCTTCCATTTTCAAGGAAATTTCCTTTTCTAAGGAAATTCTAGTGTCGAAAAGGAAAATCTAAGGAAGAGAAAAAATCTAAGGAAATCTAAGGAATTTTTCCGAACAACTTAAATATTCATCCAAGTGCATTAGTGCAGAAGAAAGTTTCACTATTTCTTGAATTTTGAGTGAATCATGATCAATTATGTTTAATTAAAAATCTGTTTTTAACTTTTTCCTCGTGTTTCCGAAAACGTCTGAAAGTTTTTGAGAGATGGGATTTGGTAACTTTTGGCGCCAAACGCTGTGAATAATTAATTATTTATATCATTGGAAGGTATATGTTGTAAACTCATAACCATAAATATTTAATTTTAAACAGTATAATAGCCTGTGGTTTCTTAGCAAGCCATCATCTTTGTTAATTGTGCTATTTTGTGCCTTTAAAATTTATTAAATCCTTTGTATTGCTACAAAAGCACTGCAAACCGCCTAATGAAATTTCAAGGAATTTTCAAGGAAATAACGTATACAATCTAAAGAATTTAGAGAAATTTTGATGACAAAAATGAGAAATTTTGATTTTGAAAATGGAAGCACTGGGTCAAATTGCACCTACACGCGTGAGTTTGACGTCATACCGGCCAACAGGAGCTTCTTATTGGCCAATTATTGCGCAATGTTCGCAAGTGCGAGTAAAACCCGATATCTTGAAAAATTCAAAATAAATATTTCTAGTCGGCGTATACATACGAAACTTTCTACACAAAAGCGCTTGGATACAAAGAGTATTTTACACATATAGCCGTTCAGAAAATGACGAAAAGTTCAAGAGATATTCAAGATTTTGTAGATATGAAATCTAGAATCTTTTGGCCAAGCGGTGAGTAAATATATGATTGTTTCGGTTTGTGTAATGCTCTGGGGCTTTAATGCTTTAATGCTTTAATGAAATACTCCTAAAACAGTATTATACTACACTAGGAGGAGTTATATATACTGAAAAACTAGATAATATTTATTTACAAGAAATTAGTCTTCATAATCACTGTATGACACATATATTAGGCGGTGATTATAGAATGATGTTGTTATATGTTATTAACAACAACAATGGCAAAAGCGACAAACGACAATAACAACAACGACAACAACTCTAAGACTACAAAACGAACATATAGTACAATACAAACGATTCAAAACGATACTAATTAGCTACATTAAGTGACTTAATTGAAGGCATGGCAAGTGTTTTGAAACTTGGGGTTGATTGGCAAAGATTGTTAAATGGGATGTGATTCCAGCTAACGATTGTTCTTGGATAAAATGAAAACTTATATACATTGACACACGACTGAATTTGGCGGTAAGGACAGATATTAGGCAGCCTGGATGCTCTAGTCAAAGGACACACGTCATCAGGAAGACTGATTCCAACAAGGCCTTGATAGATCTTGTAGAACATAGTGGCTTGGTGTAGCAGTCGCCGTTGTTGGAGATTGTCCCAACCCAGATGGTCGATCATTGGAGAGACGTGGCTAGCTTTGGAATAGTCATTGAAGACAAATCTAGCAGCTCTGCGTTGAACCATCTCGATCTTGTTGATGTTCCTCTTGGTGTAAGGGTTCCAGACTGTAGAAGCATAAAGGGCCGGTAAAGCATAAGGGGCCGGTTGTATAAAAACGTAGTTAGCGCTAACTGTAGTTAGCGTTAATCACTGTAGTTAAATCCTTAAGGTACGTTTACATGCTGCGATTTGTCGGGCCGATTTTGCTCGCTGTATGTAAACAACCTGTCGTGAGTACTCGCGTCAGCACATTGCGATTCACAAAATCGGGAGAAAAATCTGTAACAAAACCACAGATTTTCTCACGATTCAACGATTTTTCTTCCGTTGTAAAGTTGTTGAAAACTTTTCGCACGCAGAAAACTATAATATGAACAGACGAGAGAGCGGACAGCTTCAATTGAACGTTTAAATCGCTAAATGTCGAAGAAGGGACATCGATTTTTTTTCAAAATCGGCCCGACAAATCGCAGCGTGTAAACGTAGCTTTAACTGTAATTAGTTAACTACATGACTTAACTAATCAGTAATCACGTAGTTAACTGTGCGTGGGACTTGCGTGGGGCGTTTAAACACAAAATTACATAAAGTAAGCAGCGAGTAACGACCGCTGACAGACATTTTCAACATGATTGTGGACTCGTATTTTGCAAATGGGCGGTAATTTTATTCAAAACACTAGAAAACAGTAAAAAATAAACAAGAAAACAAGGAAAAACCGCCACAAAAATCATAAAACAATGCAGTTTTTCCTTGAGATGTCTACGTTAAACCAAGGTATAGCTGTTTGGCAATTATATATCAGTGTTTCTTGGTGTAATGGACCATACTTCGTCTTGGAGAAATCGTCCTGTGCAAAAATATGTTCTGTTTTCGTAAAAACACCAAAGTGATAGCGTTTGAAGAGTTTATATTGTCAGGAAACATTCACAGGGAAGATAGCCATTGAAAATCTCAGGTAAGCGTTGCTTTTCATTATTGTTTAACTGAAAAATGTTGTTCACTCCTATACAAACGCCATTTTTAACTACGTTTTGGACAGTTAACTATACCCTAAAGCATAGTTAACTTTAACTACTTTTTAACTGCAGTTAATTTAAGGCTAACTACACTTTTATACAACCGGCTTAACTACGTGATTATAGTTAACTATTTTTTAAGGTTTTTTAACTACTTTTTAACTGCAGTTAGCGCTAACTACGTTTTTATACAACCGGCTTAACTACTTGATTATAGTTAACTATTTTTTAAGGCTTTTTAACTACTTTTTAACTGCAGTTAGCGCTAACTACGTTTTTATACAACCGGCTTAACTACGTGATTTAGTTAACTATTTTTTAAGGATTTTTAACTACTTTTTAACTGCAGTTAAGGCTAACTACGTTTTTATACAACCGGCTTTAAAACTACTTGATTATAGTTAACTATTTTTTAAGGCTTTTTAACTACTTTTTAACTGCAGTTAGCGCTAACTACGTTTTTATACAACCGGCTTAACTACTTGATTATAGTTAACTATTTTTTAAGGTTTTTTAACTACTTTTTAACTGCAGTTAAGGCTAACTATATACGTTTTTATACAACCGGCTTAACTACTTGATTATAGTTAACTATTTTTTAAGGTTTTTTAACTACTTTTTAACTGCAGTTAGCGCTAACTACGTTTTTATACAACCGGCCCCAGGTGGGTTCAAGATTGAACGCACCTCCTCATAGCCAATAGGAAAGCCGCTAATACGCTAGGTATGAGATAAGCAAGTTAACCCTGCACCTAGCGAGGAGGGTTAAACTTAACCCTAGGTTAAGATTCTTATTCGTCCCGTACGTGCCTTTGAAATGATTTTATACCTATACATGCAAGTTGGCTTTGAATTTATATACGAGCATTAAAGTGAAAGATACGGCAACTTTCTGTCCATTTTGGGGTGCTATGGTCTAAGCATGGACATCATAATTTATTGTGTTACTGTGGAAAAGTACCTCAGGCTTAATTTACAAAACGCCAAAAGAAACAGCTACGTCCTCGGCTACGTCTGCCGTCTGCCGGTTTTCAAAATATAGTTTGGTACACAAATGCCGTAATCAAGATTGTGTACACTGTACAGTAAAAGGATTCACCTCACAAGATCTTTGTCGATTGCCGCCACCAAAACTGTAGACTGTATTTTTATTAAAGCCGAGCATTCAACACAAGTTTCTTCGAAAAATAACTCTATAGAAAAAACACTTGTATTGCCAAACATTTCGCCATACCACCACCTGTTTCACAAAGTTTCCATTTGCCATTTGTTGAACAGTCACAAGTTCTTGCACATCTTTTGCAGCGCAGTGTATTACCTACTAGTAAAAACACTGTTTTTGAAAGCTGTAAAACAACTTCGCTGCTTCTTTTTCTGTTTTCGTGTTCTGTTTTACTTTTATAGGATAAACACGCATGCGTTGAAAAATGCTTTTCAACTCCAAAAGTTCATTTGATTGGCTGGGATTTTGTTCTCAAATTTATTCAAGCACTGCCTAAAATTCCAGAATTGATTTATTTAAATATCTTTGCCACTTTAATCACGTATATTTTTTCCTTGAAACTTTCAAAATGCTTAATCCATGTCTGAAATGTTCAATCTCAGTTGCCTACTACTTGTTAAACAATATTTCTCCCATCTATCCCATTTTATCCCTAGTTTTGACACTTACTCTCCAGCCAATCAAAAACGATCTTATAATAATTTTATTACATTTATTTTTAAAACAAATTTAACCTTGGGTTAAATGTCTTAACCTTGGGTTAACTAACCGCACCTCTAACCCAGCTTTGAACTGCGCAGTTTTAACTCAGGGTTATTAACTAACCCTGGGTTAAGGATTTTAACCATAGAAATAATAGACAGGTCTAATATTTCTATGATTTTAACCCAGGGTTTGCGCTAAGCCTGGGTTAAAGTTAACCAGCTTTTGAACAACCGGCCCCGGATAGTTAAACGCGGTAGTGAAACGGGCTTCGTACAACGCAATTTTATCGGCTGTTTAAGTATCCGCCGGATAACGGCTACGCACCGTTTATAAGTTAAACGCCTTTGATACAACCGGCCCCAGATCACCCGAACAAAGGTCATGTTCACCCAATCTTTGTTGGGTTCTGAACTTAAAATGATATGGCCATATCTTGTAAATATATTGCTGAAGATGAATCAAAATAGATTCGAGATATGCAGTTTTTAAAATAGATGTGTTGTTAAAAAGCATACTTTTTTCGAAATAACATTAGTTTTATATAAGCGTAGGGTCAGGAAGATTTTGGAAACAAAGAGAGAATCTAGGAATTAATACCTGATCCTTATCCTACACGATATTCTGCAGCATTTCTTGACTGGACTAAGGAAGGACTGCAAGGACTGGATAGAAGGACAAAAAAACTACTAAGAACGAACAAAGGATTACGTGCATTCAAAGTTAAACGTTCACAGATTGTATATATTTAGGAACGAAGAATTATGGAAATATGTTGATAACATTGAGGAAAGACTACTCAACGCTGCAAGACAAACTCTTGAAAATGTTGGAGGGACCGAATCAGAGAACGAATATAATATCGGAATCCGGAGAAAGAATGAACGAAAGCAGACTTGGAAAGAGAAGATTCTACATGGGCAATTCATGAGACAGACGGAACAGGAAGGGTAGGAAGGAAAGATAGCAGTGGTTGAGTGGCACAGGAACTAGGAGAAAGACAGAGTCGCTAACTATGGCAGCACAGGAGCAGGCAATAAGAACGATTAATGTGATTATAAACACGAATCGATAAAACACAGGACGAAAGCAGGTGCGGAATGTGCGACCAGATAGTTAATTCTGACAGCTCGGTAGGGTAGGTAATATGCTAAAAACAAATAACGATTCAAATATTCCAACAAAGAAAATAAAATCACTATATGTATTATACCAATTAACACAACTGATAGATGAAGCTACTCGAGTAACTAGTCCAAAAACCACCAGTCTTATTGATCATATTGTTACTAATATGCCAGAGAAAATATCTGATTCTGGTGTCATTCACACAGGTATTAATTAGTTATCATAGCTTAGTATTTGCAATCATGAAAATTTCTATTGTTACAAAACAAGAAAATACTCTTGAAAATAGAAACATGAAAAATTTTGATGAAGGAAAATTTATTGAAGAACTGCTAAAACAACACTGGGAATATGTGTATTTCTTTGCTGATGATCCAAATGCCATGTGGGAAATTTGGAAAAATATATTTCTTGAAGTCCTAGACAAACATGCACCACTTCAGCAAAAGAAGATAAGATCGAAAAAAGTCCCTTGGATTACAAATGATATAAAGAAACTTATGAACACAAGGGACAAGTTTAAACGAAAAGCCATTTTGACAAACCATGAGAATGATTAGTTAAACTTTAAAACAGCTAGAAATAAAGTAAATATAGAACTAAGAAGTGCCAAAAAAAACAAATTATTCCTCGAAAATAGCTGGTCAAAAAATTAATCCCAAGAAAGCTTGGAAAAGTATAAACAACTTGTTAGGTAGGCAAAACAAATCAACAGTGGTAAATGAACTAAATGTAGGTGAACAAAATTTGACAAGTCCTGAAGATAGGGCTTTAATGAATATTTTTCAAATATTGGCCCAGATCTAGCTAGCGAAATAGACTATTCAAATTCCAATTTTGAAACGTATGTCAAAAATGCTCAATCAGAATTTTCTGCTGTCCAACCTGTTACTGTCAGTCATGTCTCTCATCTTTTGCATGGACTTTCCAACAATAAAGCCACTGGCATCGATAAAATCTCTTCCAAAATTATTAAATTAGCTGCACCTGTCATCTCAGATTCACTGACACTTATTTTCAATCAGGCTATTACTTTATCTTCTTTTCCTAATGAATGGAAGGTAGCTGTAATGTATGCAGATGATGCAAAGCATCTTGGGAGTAAATATATATTGTCTTGATTACACAACATGGCGTGTGTCCCATAAACATAACATGGTATCAGGAGAAGTCCACTAAATAGAGCTTGAAAAGATAGCCATCCGATAAAAAACATAGAAATACAAGGAATAAAAGTCCGACAACAAGTGTAAACCGAAATGGAAGGGTTTCCAGCCTCAAATATGCCAAAAATGAACTGGTCGAGCTGTGACTTGCCAGCAGCATGGAAATCGTTTCAACAACATTGTGAATTTGCTTTTGGTGGGCCACTAAAAGGCAAATCTGAAGAACAAAGATGCAATTATTTATTTATTTATTTATTTATTCATTTATTTATTCATTTTGTCACACACATTAAAGATATACATTTACGTAGAGATAACAATAACAATAACTAGAGAATGCTGCGACAGGAGAAGAAAACAGAAACTAAATTCCAATTGATATTCGACCCCTTAACAATTAATGGATAACGAGACGTACTAGGACAATTATGCACGAACATATCACAGATTACATGGAACTTAACATATAGGATACTGTACAACGAATTATAGAACAAGATTAACTATGGTGGTATGTAGGTAAACAGTTTGGCTTTGTAATAAGATTGTAGATGGTGCTTGAAGATCTGTAGGGAATGGGCGGCTTTGATGTTCGGTGGTAGATTGTTCCAGAGAATGACAGTGCGTGGGAAATAGGATTGTCGGAAGAATTCTTGATTATTGGAGACGATTATGTTATAGTTGTTAGGGTCGAAGTTGCGTGTGGCATAGGGGTTAGTTGCAGGTGTAAGGTATTGGTTAAAGGTGACATTAATAAGGTTGTATTTGATTTTGTATAATAGTGTTAGGTCATAAAGTTCACGCCTGTGTTCAAGTGGGAGAAAGTTTAGGGATATTAGTCTGTCTCTGTAGGTAACATCACGAGAAGGGTAGTTCAGAATGAATTTCGTTGCTCTGCGTTGAACGTTCTCTATTAATTTACGTTGTTTAGCCGAGTAAGGTGACCACACACACGACGCGTATTATCTGATGATATGGGCTGGAGAGAAAGGCCGAGATGTATATAATACCTGGAATTTAACAGGCGAAGAATCGAAAAAGCTCACTACTTACTACGAAAGATTCGAAGCGTATGTAAAGCCCAAATCAAATAATATTTTTGCTAGTTACAAGTTTCATAATATAGTACAGCAAGAAAAGGAGCCATTCGAACAGTTCTTGACTAAACTCAAGATCGAAGTTAAAGATTGTGGATACAAAGACCCAGACGAAATGATTCGAGATCGAGTAGTAATCGGTTGTTATTCGCAAAAAGTACGGGAGAAATTAATACAAGAAGGATCTGAACTAACCTTAGAAAAGGCAGTTGATATCGCTCGAACACGAGAAATGTCAAACACCCAGCTTCAAAGTATGGCACCTGAAGATAACAATGTACACAGCCTCAGAGACGAACGAGAGAGAAAATTTCAATATAAAGATGACAAACGACGAAAAGGCCCAAACACCAGAGACGGTTATACTTATAAACAACACTGCAGCAAGTGTGGTATAAAACATGACCAAAATAAATGTCCAGCAGAAGGAAAGACATGTGCAAAATGCAAAAAGCTTAACCATTTTGCAAGAATGTGCAAATCGAAGTTCAAAGTCAAGGAAAGAAAAAGGCAAGTACATGGAGTTGAAGAAGAGGAGTCTGAAGACAGTGACAGTAAACTATATGTTGGTTCTGTGGGAACTACAGATGCCATAAACAAGAATGAATGGTGTGAAGATGTAAAAATTGCGGAAAAAACTGTAAATATTCAGCTCGATACAGGTGCAAGGTGTAATGTAATTTCCATCAAAGATCTTCAATGTCTTGGAAATCAACACAAATATAAAGAAACCAGAAGCACAGCTCAAGTCATACTCTGGTCATGTCATCACCACAAAAGGAGTAACTATTTTACCATGTGAGTACAAAAGAAAAACATACCAAGTAAAGTTCCATGTTGTTGATATTCCAGCACCACCAGTCCAGGTGATCTTGATACGCGGAAAAGTACTGGCACTAGTTATCAAATAGAAATCCATTTTATGGTTAAAACAACTGAATATCTCCTGTAATATACTTTATTTCGATTACATATTTTTGTCAGAGCTATAGTTCTCATAACCCTTAAACATAATTACAAAATTTCAACTAGTTTCATAAAGAATAATGAAAGATATAATTGACTGAATACATCAAAATGGATTTCTATTCGGACAACCCTTTCTGAGCGCTAATTGGCTAAAATACGAACACGAGATCACCTGGAGTATTCATTCAGTGCAAACACATGCAAAGAAATGGGTCTAGTAGAAAGAGTACATACAGTGGAGACCTCGAAGTCACAAGATCATCACAATGCAGATCCCTTCTCGCCACAAAAATTCAACCCAACCCAACAACATGAACTGTTGAAAGGATACGATGAGTTGTTTATTGGTCTTGGATGTTTGCCTGGTGAACATACCATTGAAATTGATCGTTCATATACCCCTGTTGTCCACCCACCAAGGAGAGTCCTGTTAGCCCTGAAAGAGCAGATCAAAGAAGAATTACAGAGGATGGAAGATGCTGGTGTTATCGTCAAGCAAACAGAAACCACAGATTGGGTCAACAGCATGGTTACAGTAATAAAACCCGAGAAAATCCGAGTGTGTATTGATCCAAGAGATCTTAATCGAGCAATAAAAAGAGAACATTATCCAATGAAAACGATTGAAGAAGTTGTAGCTGGAATGCCAGAAGCAAAAGTGTTCTCCGTGTTAGACGCCATCTCAGGATATTGGCAAATGAAATTGAATGAAGAGAGTTGCAAACTATGCACTTTCAACACACCGTTTGGGAGATACCGCTTCACACGACTACCATTCGGAATTAAATCGGCCCCAGATGTTTTCCAAAAGAAAATGTCACAGGTGTTGGAAGACATTGATGGTGCTGAAGCAATAGTAGATGACATCCTGGTGTGGGGAAAAGATATCCAGGAATATGATGCAAGGTTGAAGAAAGTCCTCGACCGAGTCCAAGAAGTCAACCTAAAGCTAAACCAGAAGAAGTGCCAATATCCCCTGATGAAACACTCAAACTCGTTGTTTACATATAACATCCAACACGAAAGAGTTAAAAACATTTCTTGGGTTTATCCAATATCTCGCAAAGTTTTTACCCAATATGGCCGAAGTCAGTGCACCACTTCGAAAGTTGTTGGAAAAGAACACAGCATGGCATTGGGAAAAGCAACAAGAAGATAGCTTTCAACAACTCAAGAGAATGGCACCCAGTGCCCCAGTGCTAAGTTATTATGATCCCAAGAAGCCTGTTACCTTATCTGTAGATGCCAGTGCTGTATCAAGAAGAAAAAGCAGTGCTGTATCAAGACGAAAAACCAGTTGCATATGCCTCCAGAGCGTTAACACCAACACAGCAAAAATATGCACAAATCGAGAAAGAGACTTTGGCTATTGTATTTGGTACAACCAAGTTTCACCAGTTCCTGTTTGGAAAAGAAATACTTGTCACATCAGACCACAAACCTGGTAATCTGTGGGAAAGGAAAACTCTGATCACAAACCAGGGAAGATGGCGCTCTTTAGCTGTGCAAGGCAACCCATCAGGTCATACGATCAATAATATACAAGAAACCGAAGGTGTTAGTCGTGCTGATGACTGGATGGCTTATGCGTTATGAAGTCGCAAACGATACCAGGCCGGAAGTGGTGAAACCTGTCAGTAAAGGCCTTACTCGTACATAATCCACTATACTAACTATGGATTTTCCGGAGAATGTAATAACGGTGGTAGTAACAACTAACCAATACTGACCTCATAATGCATGAAACATATAAATTCATCAGACGTAAACAGCATAAGTGGTACAAGTGCTGAACGTACCTGTCCAGTGGGAGAGCAGCGCAGACCCGACCGTAATCATGATACTACCGGAGTCGTTCCAAGAAAATGGCAGTAATGGAGTGTTATTGCTGGAGTGACCCAAACAAGGAAGAGGATGTTGCAATTATGGAATGGAAAAGACCGGTTCAGAAGAGCGACTTGTGGACCAGGCAAACCATGCAGATTCGGAAGAGAAAATGGTCAAGTGACATAAGTCGTGTTTACACTACAAGCCTTGGCCTAGTCTTGGCCTGGCCTGTAAATGTGGCGCGTTTACATCATTACACTTTTTGAGACTGGCTCACTTTGGCCTGGAATTTTGCTATTAATTTTGTGTATTTTTATTGTGTTGTGACGTTGTCCGCTGGTTGCCGCTATTCTCTCAAGATTTACATAAACTTCAGCTTTGATTTTCTCGGCTTAGACAATGTTTATTTTTAAAATTACTTCGCCAATGAACTCATAAGATGGGTCATTTTTTAAGTACGATAAAACATTCGCATCCCTATCCGATCTGTATCTGATATACAAACTCTCGCCTTCGGCTCGAGATACAGATCGGCTGCACATGTTTTATCTAGTACAAAACGCTCGGCTACGCCTCGCGTTTCATATCTGATAAAACACTCCTACTCGTGTTTTAAATAGTACTTATTACCGATATCTTACTGGCTTGAAATACAGGATCTCCTCTTTTTTTTCAAATGCAAACAAGGCCTGTACGATCTAGATATCTCCTTTTTTTGTCACCTTTTCTTCTAATCGTTCGTCTCGCACCCGTTAAGGCAACGACAACTTACTTCACGTCAATCCGTAAAAGACTTCTCTTTTCAGAAACTCTTATTTCGACCAAATTGTGTCTTTCTAGACTTTCTATGGAACAACCTCTCTCCGATCATTCGTAATAGTTCGTCTGTTTGCTCCTTTTAGCACCAACTCTGCATTCACTTCTCTTCTCAATTACATTTTTCTTTTGATGTAAAGAGAATGTACACTTGGAAAACCTAAATGCCGTTCTTTCAGCTTAAGCTGTGGCTCATAATCTGTCCTATATAATTATGTAAATGTGCTGTGTAGTTCTTGTCTTTAGTTTATCACTGTTTATGTCTATGTGAAGACCAACCTGACAAAAAAACCCAGCGGGGCTCATGTCCTGTTGACTGTCCTCAATCATATTTAAATTAAGTGTTGCTCAGTTTTTCAAAACCTTTATTTGTAATAGTTTTATTGTATTTTTGTATGGTTATAAAGTTAATAAATAAATACAATAGACATGTAAGTTTTATTTCAGGCAAATTGTTTCTGTATTTATGAAAATTAAGGTTTGGTTGCTGTTACTGAAAAATTGACTGCATGGAGGCCCTCGACACCAACAATTACATAACTAATCAGCAAAAGTGCAAGAAAATAAGCCAACCGAAAGTGGAAATCCCTTCAACCCATACCATATCCAGCCCCGTTTAGCAACATGGCGTGTTCAACTGCTCAACCCCGTTATCTGGCGCAGACTTTATACAGACGCACTCTTCGTGAAAACACCAACAAAGAGAAAACGATTTACATGTGCCTATTTACTATACACGAGCCGTACATTTGGAAGTCATTGAAGACCTCAGCGAAGTAAGATGCTTCAGCAAAAATCTTTAGCCAAAATTTACCAAAGAAGCCAAAACAACCCTTTGTAGAAAAGTCAAAAGTCAAGTCAAAATTTCCGCGAACACAGTGTTATTCTGAATCGTGACTGGTTACAGTTAATCTTAATCAACTGTGCAATTGACTAGATTTCATAAAATTCATAAAATTCAGTAGTAATAGAAGCATAGACGCGCGGGACGGAAAAAAATGCCCAACTTACCAAATTTCCCGGAATTCGTGTAAACTTCCCGAGGGGAATAACATTTTTGGAAACTTACATATTTCTTGCATTTGACTATTATCTTACATATTTCTTTATATTCATATTTCTTCTTTTTTTTATTTCATCTTTTTACCCAACTCAGGTTGCCACAAGAATTTTTCCGAGGGCTGCAGCCCCACCTCCCTGCCCCCCGTCTCGTACGCTTATGTTCAAAAGAAAGGAAAGAATGAAGTTGGAGATATATGTGTGTACAATGGCAAACAATGCTCACAGTAAAAACCAAACTAAATGGACAATGAATATAGTTTATCACTTTACTTCACTTATAGTGTTCATTTATTGAAAAAGCGTACAAAATAACGTACGAAAATAACGTAAGAGTACAAGAAATATTTACAGGTGCGATTTCTATATATTGTATGGTGCGTGGACTATAAGTTAAATTTATATTCTTGAAATATAGAAATGTATTCAGAGGCAGAAGATTAACAATTTTACAATACGCTTGGCAGCTGATTTCATTCAAATTACGACCCAGTGTTATCTATGAGCATCGAACTGAATACTAAGATTGCATTTGTAATTTATTCTTCTTCAAAGACATTTGAAATTCGGCTACAGTAAATTCCCGCGTAAAGTTTTCCAGCCCGGGGTGAATTGGTTCTTATGATCAGAATATCAAGGCTAAATTGATTCTGATAAAGATTGGTGCTGAAACTAATCTTCTAGCTTCTTATATGTATGGGTTAATGGAATGTTGAAGAAACATTTTCCCAAGTTGTTTTACTAATAAAAAATGAAGAGCAGCCGCAAACAGAATTTTATCTACACAATCAACATCTCTGAATACATTGCCATGCGTTCGAAGTGCAATTTCTCACTACATATCATACTCGCACTTCCTGTATGACGTCATCAGTCAAAAGGTGGTTTAGTACGTCATAAATTGTCACAAAATTCGGTCGCGACGATGGTGCGACGGTCCAGCAATTGTTCATCAAATTTCTGACGCTCTGTGGCCAATACGCTGGGCATTGTAAGAGTTCGAGGGCTCGGATCTTGTCCGTCACTTCCGCATTACTGTATTGCTGGTACGGTTCGACGCCGTGAGAGAATATCTCCCATAATAACACTCCGAATGACCACACATCATTCTCACTGGTCAACAGAAACGACTCCAGTGCTTCAGGCGACATCCACCGTATGGGAAATAATGTATTCTCTTGATGCAGCCAATCATAATCTGAGGGATATTTCTGACTGCCTATCCCCAGCAAGGAAATCTTCACAGTCAAGTCGCCACCTTCATCTGCAATTAAACAGTTCCTCGCAGCAAGATCACCGTGCACGTAATTAAATTCTGATAAATATTTCATTCCGTTTGCAATTTGACTTGCAATGTTGAGAAGAATGTCCGTTGATGGATTTTTCCCATTGTTCTGAGCTTGTTTCAGAAACTGATTGAGATTAACTTCACTGAGATATTCAAACACAACAAATTCTGTTCCCTCTCCAGGAGATATTCCGAGCAGACCCAGTATATTCATATGTTGTAGTGGACACAGTAAACTTGTCTCTCTACGAAATATATCTTTCTGTATGGCACTTGAATCTTCGAACAAAGTTTTTATAACTATATCCATGTCGGGTTTATCTTGATCATTAATGAGTACTCCCCTGAACACTCGGAAGAAATTGCCTTCACTTATGACACTGACGTATTTCACTCGACCACGAGTTAGTTTCTGAAAATAAGATTGAACAATGAGTTAAAAAATAAAGTCCTTAACTGGGGTGGAAGAAGGAACACGTTGATATTTCGAGCAAAGTCTTCGTCTGGAAATTAGTTCCAGAATGCCTTTGCTTGAAACAACGAAAATACTTCGCTAGAAACGACAACGGTTTGATTGAGTTTTTTCCTGGTTAATTTTAAGCATCTCCAGAGTAGACCAGGGACAGTTTCGAATAATGCAAATAGTCCCTACACCAGAATCGTAGGGCCGCACGATCGATTCTTATATGTAGTTGCATTTTTTGCAACTATTCCTTAGGTCTACAGGGTGTATCAAAAAAAGCGCAATCCTCGACTGAAATGTAAATTGCTAAACAAATAATAGACGAAAACGTTAAAGTTTACATTCATTTTAAAGCGCAGCCATTCAGCTTTCTAACAGTGGGTTGTTTCTTAAATTTGACTCATTGGTTCGCGGGTAATAATACTTTACGTTATTGCGATTGGAGATTAAAAAAATTGAGATGGAATAACAAATTGTTCTCATGAAAATAACTGATTTTTTCATTAAAACAAAAAATGTTGCATTTTATTAAATGGATTGTAACAATAAGTATAATTACGGCTTTTCTTCCACTATTTTTAAGTCAGCTTGAAACTTCAAATGCGATATAATTTTGGCTTGGACCATGTAAGCTGACTGACATCAACTTCGATGACATTCTGGCTCAGACACCAGAATGTTTTGACGATTTTTAGCATTCGTTTAGGATTTTCAAACAACCTGGTCTCTTTGAAAATACTTTTAATTTGTTCTTACGTGGTTTTCCAGATGTAGTGACGACAACATTAAAGTTTATTAAAGAAGAAAATTCTAACATTTAAACCGACTAAACAATAACATAGTAAACTTGCATAATTAAACAGCAACTAAAAATTATAGGTTTTACTAAATCTTTTCCTGTGCAATTATTACTAGCATTGGAGACAAGGATAATAGTTTGTTTGAACGAGAAAAGAACAGGCTTTGAAGTAAGCCTAAAAGCGTTTAACTAGAAATAGTATTTCGAAAGTTATTAAGCACAAAAGATGAATTGCGTTTATTTTGATACACCCTGTATATGTTCGAATATCCCTCTATACAAAAAACCATCTACTATGAGTTGTATCAATCGAGATGCCTCAAATCTCGACAGTTTATTTTAGAATACTACTTACGGTACACACGAGACGTTTTTGCTCTTGGAAAACATTAAACAGTTGTGATCTTACCTCGTTCAAGACAAAGGATTGAACTGAAGTATTTTCTCTGACATCAGTGAGCTGAGTGGAACTGCATTTAGCAAACGGTGCAGTTGAATTCGGTGGAGAGTTATCAACATTTTCCTTCGAGTTTTGGACTTTCCAATACACAATAACGGTTATACAACCCAGTAATATCACAGCAACAATTGCAATAACCACGTAGATTGTTCTTCCTAACGATGTGCCTTCAACGCCTGACTTGGGTAATGCTGGAGTAAAAATAGAAGAAATTGTTTTTAACAAACTATTAAAATACTACTGTAGTCTGCTAACCTAATAATAAGATGCTACTTGTTTGTCTGGTTAGTCAATCTATCACGTTAGATGACATCAACGCCCTGCTCATAGTTGCATCAGTTGATGCATAGTTGAACAGGACGAGAACAAGTTCTAATTAGAGAGGACAAGCGACTTTTTTCACGAACGCCAAGGAAGTAAACCCAGACGTTGCAGATGGCAACAGCGGTTCTTATCACCGAACTGAAGCTGCATTATATAATAACTACAGTGAAACACGAAATTTGATTCGTTAATTGTTGAAACTCGAGCAACGCTATCCTGCACGGAAAACATTTTGGTATTCCTTAATTAATTGCCATCCTTGATGCAAGATCTGCTGACGCCATTATGAACATCTAAATTGTGTACGCGTGTCCGTGTTGTCAAAAACGTCGCTTACTTAAGCCATGGGCAAACTAGGAAACATTGTTGCGGAAACATTGCTTCCTGCCAATGTTTCGCCATGTTTTCCCAGAGTGGAAAAACACTAGGAAACAATGTTTACGCAAACAAAAATCGCATTTGGGAAACATGAAATGTTTCTGAATTTGATAGGAAACATTTCTGCTTCTCGGGAAGTAAATTTTGTTTCTGCAACAATGTTTCTACGGGTGGGCAAACACAGAAACACTTGAGGAAACATGGTGAATCACAATGTCTCCGCAACAATGTTTCCTAGTTTGCCCAAGGCTTTAAGCTCTCTATTTGTAGGTTTACATGGTGATTAACGGTACTGTATTAAGTTCCTTCAAGTTTTGCATCCGAACCGTATGCTCGGATATCAGATAAATACAAATATCATTTGCACTGATGACGGACTTTCGGATAAATATTTTCCAAATAAATATTGTGGTGTTTTCAAAAATAAATCAGTGGAGGCTTTGAGATTAGAAGTTACCTGAACACTGTATCTTACCCTCTACACGATTTTTGGCGCCAATACAATGGGCAAATTGAATTCTCTTTACCTTTAGTGAGAAATTCACATTTTTTCACGGCACAATATTCCCTCCTTCCTTTCACACTGACATAACACCAAGGAGAGTGTGCATCGTTATCAGGATTGCGACAGAAATTGTGTTTCCATCCAGTACTTGGACGATGGATGCTCCAACTGATACAAACATTACGAAAGACAGTGACATTTACCATACCGAGGTAGTCTGCACCAGAATTATTATAACAGTTATGACTTGGATCTACAGAAGGAAATATTGAAACGTTTTTGACATATTATAACCTACAGAGATGATCAGGGTTGCCACCCTTTAGTGAAGATGAAATTCAATGACTTTTCCAGGACTTTCAAGGATATTTTTTAGTAAATTCAAGGGCCTAATAAAACTGGAAAAATATTTAAAGATGGCACAGATTTTGCTTTTTGAAACAATACTATTTGCTCAAGATCAGTAGTCTAAATAAAGTTCAAGTCAGCACAGCTGAGGACCTTCAAGGACATGTGCATGCCAATTTTCAAGGTCTTTCCTTTACTTTTATCACATTTACATGTAGATTGTGACCTGTATTCTTACTTAATTGGGACACCAATTAAGATTGTGTTTGTAGACATTCGTAGTAATTTCGTTTATATGGTAAACTCTTGACCAGCAGCCAACTTGTTTGCCTCAGAACCCAAGCTGGTCAACTTGGTTTCCAAATAAACAAATAATGGAACTCTATAGGAATAATGATAACTAACCAGTGCTCTCTGATAAGAGCATACACGCATAAAGCTTCTAGTCAGGCAGATAGAAGGAAAAAACTTACCATAACGTGGGACAATTCCATTTTGCCTTCATATTGTGCCCTGAAGGCTAGTAAGTACGTTTCTGTATGTTGGCCGCGTTAAAATTTCTTGTGGGCTCCTGCCGACACGTTTTTCTTCGAATTTTGTATTCATTTTTAATCTCTATTACAGTTAAAAAATGTGAAATTTCAAATACATTTCTAACACAAATTACTTACATCGTTTGAAAGCTTCACAAAACTACATATAAGACATTTAAACAGTTACCAGGGTTTTTCAAGTTCTTCTTGAGTTATGAGCTGTTGAAAGCGTGTTTTCAGACTAGTACCCAGGATTTTTGCAAGATTTTCGCTTATTTTTCACATTTGAAACAGCAATAATTCGAGAACCGCTTGAAAATCCCTAACTAAAAACTAAACATTTAAATGTCTTATATGTAGTTTTTTGTTAGCTTTCTATTGATGCAAGTCATTTGTATTAGAAATGTATCAGAAATTTCACATTTTGTAACTGTAATAGAGTTTAATACAAAATTCGAAGAAAAACGTGTCGGCAGGAGCCCACAAGAAATTTTAACGCGGCCAACATACAGAAACGTAGCCTACTTACTAGCCTTCAGCGCACAATGCGAAGGCAAAATGGAATTGTCCCACGTTATGGTAAGTTTTCCATAATTTTGATCCTCTATCTGCCTGACTATTCCTGTCAAGTATATTAAAAAATGAAAATAATTGTAATAAAAATTAAAATAATGATACTCACTGTAGAAAGTTGTGTTTTTTGAGGGAACAGGTTCCACAAGTTTCCTCGGTATCGCTAGTCCAACACAATGGGCCCCCTCCTCTGTGTCAACGCGTGGTAGATTTGGACATTCTGGAAACAACGCGTTCACATAATCTTCGTTAACCTTCTTCATCAACGACACTTCACTCCGACATATGTCAGTCTTCAGTTTTGTGCATTCGCCTTGACACAGCCGTGATCTTTTCTTACCGTGCGAGCAGACTGGAAACAAGTGATAACACATGGCGGGAATTCCATATCTTGAACATTTCTCGGAAATCGAAATTCCTTTCAAACTCACGGAGATTGTTTGTTCCAGTTGATACTGATATGGCATGTTGTAAAAATAAATGTTTTCGTTTTGAACATATTTACCACAGAAGCCATTTCCTTTGTACTTTCCGCACCTTGTGAAAAGAAATAATGTAGTGATGATCTGGGAAATTTTGAAATGATTATCGCTACTTGGAAGTGATTTGGACGTTTTGGAGGTTGCCATCAACCTATATAATCGGGCTTTGTGATTGGTTGATCATAGCAATAAAAGACAATGAACTATAGAAATAATCTTTCTAAAGAACGAGTCATAAACGTTGATCACTATTGTTTTGTAAAGCCAATCACAAAACACGATCATTTTATGTTGTCATTTACGCAATTTTGGACATGATCATCCAATAGTCATCTAATATCTAATCAGGTCTACAGATGTTACAAACGTGTTTTGTTATCACGTAAGCTATACTGCATATTTTGATATCTTTGAGCATTACTTACGTTGGATTAGTTCGCCCAACAATCCCTACAACTGAATATAATAATAATAAATTAATAATACAGCAGTTTTCCTGGTTAAAAGGATGGGGGACTTCCACTTGGTTCTCCCTTGGCTCAGATCATAATAAGATTTTATAAGATTTGGGTAAAATTGCCGACAAAAGAAGAAACAAATACACGCTTCCGGAAAGTACGTCACTTTGGCTATAGAGCCTCGTTTTCGTGTATCTGACATCAGTTGAAGGCCACGTCTCAATCACGAAAACGAGGCTCTATAGCCAAAGTAACGTACTTACTTTCCGGAAGCGTGTATTCCGAGAACGCGTGGGATGGTAGAACACGGAATTTTTAAATAGCAACTTTTAGTAATTCTAATACACTTTATAAACGAACTGACAATCTTTGAAAAACCAAAACATCAGACAAAATAAAACTATTGGCTTTATGTAAAACGATCTGGATGAGCTCAAAAACAATTAAAATTTTTAGTCATAATAAGTTTCTTGAAAGAATGACTCCAAACGATGTTCTCAGGTATCACGTTAAGAGTAACTACAGTACAATTGTATCGCCAAAGGAGATTCATTCTAATTTTGAATTGACCCTAAAGCTCAGCATATATGACTTTCAAACAAGACATAACAATACAGACTGAATAAAATTTATTTGCTCACGTTTCGTTGTATACACATGACAACACTTCAGAGCAAACAATGAAACGTTATCACATAAATTTTATTCTTTATTGTTCTGTCTTGTCGGAAAGTCATATTCTGGGCCTTTTACAGTTTTCCATACAGTATCTTACGTTCCAGTAGCGTGACGGAGGAACAGGGGGCCTTAGGCATATTTGGTGTGGGGGCCCCTGTTGTCATTGTTTGACTGAGATATTATATTTATATTGAATATTTATAAAATGTTCTGGAAAATTCCATGTCTATAACAATAACAGTCTCCAACACATGTAACAACTAATAAGAATAACATTTGTTTTATTTGAGATGGAATTAAAAAATCAGCTACCGTTGTCGATGGAGGCTTTATTATTTAGCATTTATATTAATTTTGCATTTTCCCATTGATTCTACATTTTTTACATTTTCTAATTTTCTGGGCGTTAGGGCGTGGGTGATGTGGGGCCTCTAACTGTCGGGGCCCTTAGTTTTTGAACTAACCCTACCCAATGAGCGCTACGCCATTGTTACGTCCCCATATTATATGTCCTGTTTCATTGTCAACTCTTTTCAGTTGGATAAATATAAGCAACTTACCTCCGTTGTCAAGGTTGTCACAACGTCTTCCTTTCCTACTCTTGCTTTGTGGCAAGTCTGTACAAACAGGGAAAATATCAGGAAGTTGATTCTTGCAGACTTTGTTCCTCACTCGCAGACAATCTTCTCTACACAGCCTGTGTTTCATGGCGTGCCGCCTGTTACACGACGGGAACATGTGATAACATAGAGCAGCAGTCGCTAGTTTGTAACAATCTGTGGATAAATTGGACCGTGACAGGGCGCTGTAAATGATACGTTCATGTTGGTGTTGTTTCTTGGAATCATGGAAGTAAACTTTCTTATCTTGCAAATATGCCCCACATACTGCACTTGAATCAAGATGGCCACAACAACTACAGAACAAAAAGTGACAGTACATCAACTTTTATCCCTTCTGATTCCCTTCTGATTTATTCCAGAGTATTGCCTCTTTGACCAACTAAAAAGCGCTTTTTGTCTTGTTTAAGGAAACATCACGCTTATTCGTCCAAACAGGATATACATGTTGTACGGTAGTGATACCAAAAATAAGAATAAACAGCAATTCACTAGCTTGTCAAATAAACTTCAACTATAAGTATTGTAAGTTGTTTCGAATGCATTTAAGGCTGTATCCCAGACCTAGTCATTAGTAAGCATAATGCAATGACATACACATAGCCAACATACAGATACTTCGTGTGTGGGTAGGGGCTATGAAAATAAACATTAACCTTGGGGGTGGGCCATGAAAAATTATTCGTAGTAGAAGTGGCGCCGCGAAAAAGTTATCAAGAGTCGTAAAATATCTTCCACAGTTCCGCCCCTCCTTCCCGTCATTAAACAGCTCCCGAAAACGAAATTATACCATGAGGTGGCTGTATGTCAGGTCATTAGTTTGGTTTTGATTTATCACTCAAGACAGTTCAAAAGGGAGAAAATTGTATATTTGCAATATATTGCCAAAGACTTCTACTAAGCAACTGTTTCTCAGATTATTGAAAGTGAAAACTTACCTGGACTTATTGCTGCCAGTCATGGGACATTCTGAAATGACAAACAAAAAAATTAGGTTCAAGAACAAAAATATAACTTGGTCGATATCACTAATAACTACGTGCGACAGGACTAATAAAAGTAGTCTTGATGGCGAACAAGTTGTTTAGTTCAACTAGTTATCTGCTCCTGTAAGAGGCAACTCTGATAACGTTGCACATCGTGCTTGTTCCACTGTTAACAGTAAGGCAGCTATACCTGAAACCATTTCTTATATTCGTTTTTCGCATATCTTCTTAAATTATATAAGTTTTTTTAGCAAAAAACTTCTTATGTCTTATTAATATCATTTCATTAAATATTCTACTTAAGTTGTAAATTAACCATTAATTTTTTGTAAACAAAACATCCTCGTGCCTAGCTATAGTCCATGTACTCATTGTGGAAAAGAAGTTGTTTACTGTATATACAATGTGTGTATTATGTAAACTTTACTTGATGACCTCATTTTGGGACGTTATATAAAAAATATATGACGTCGTAATACGACCTCATCGAAGTTTAGTTCAACTTAGAAAATATTCTTATATTGTAAAAAATCTTATAGTAATCTAAGAAATAAGATTTAATTTTTGAAAAAACTTTTATCCAATCCTAGCACAAACATTGCAAAACAACGTTTTTGTGTAGGTTTCTTATACGTGATGGTTTCTTACGTGATGGTAGAACAGTAAGCCAACTGTGAGTGGAAATATTTGTAATAAACTTGGAAGCATGACATGTAAATTTTCCCGAGTCTTCCACTCTGATACGTCGAATTTTCAGCCGTGCACTGTCGCGGAACAAGTGGATTTTATAAAATGTATGTCCATGTGGAATAACTGTTCCATCTTTAAACCAAGTTATAGTTGGAGGTAGTTTTGTTGTCTTTAGTTTGCATTTTAAAACAACTGTTTCACCAGCTCTAACTGTTTTGTTCTTCAATCCAAGTTTAAATTCAGGTTTGTTAACTAAAATTGAAAAAAGCGGTTAGCATTTTTTGCAACTGCTCCTGGTTAGCTATAGATCTAATAAATATATAAAATTCACACACGAAATTTCCTTCCACAAATCCCTAGACTAGATCTGTATCACACGAGTATGATGTGAGTGAATATACTTTCGTTCCAGGTTTACTGTATAACTGATAAAAATCACTTGCTGTATCTAAGTGATTCGATGATAAATTGAATATTCGCTCATTATTACTTTATCCAGAAGAGTGCAGGTCAAAGTATTACAAATATATTAAAAGTTGAAACAAGAGTATATAATAAATTTGGACAAAATGGTTACGATTGTCGTTCGAAATATTGAAAGTTGATGAACATTGACAAGTCAGTCTTCATAACTTCCTCTCCACGCAGTGTAATGTTAATAACCCCTCCATACAGTTCAATGTTCAAAACAACTTTCGGTAATTTGTCATGAAAATAAACTCAACGTCTAGCTGGGGGAGAGTGCTGGTTTCAAAAGTGTGAGATGCTGTGACTGGGATTGTATAACTGTACATTCAAATTTTGTAAAAAAAAGTATAATCAAAAACCAGTAATGCCCCAAAATTAATAGTTGGATAACATATATAGAGCAACAATCAAGATGTACAGTAATCCACTAAACTACGACTAAACTTACTGGTTAAATTGAGCCTAATACATTTCTTGTATTCAGCAGAACCAACACTGGGTAATTTTGAACATGGAGTAACAAATGGTGTCATGAATGGAGTTTGAGCATTGAACTCGTTTACACAGATATATTGCTCTAACGCCCAGCAGTCATCTTGACAGAACGTGCGAGGTTTTGGATAGTTCACGGTCAGATCACAGAGAGGAAACGATGTTAGACAAAGTGCCTGTAAAGCATATGGTCGACATTGATTTGAAATGTAATGCGGGAGGTAATTAAACATCATTTTCATCTGCATTTCTTTCTGAACTTGTGCTTGAAGTGGTTTCACATACACAGACTGGTTGCCAACGAACTTTGAACATAGTATGCCAGCGTAACGTTCACATTTACTACACAAAACAAATAAAATATATCACAACAAGGTTAAAATTGAGCAATAGATAGGTTTCACTAACTTGCAGCAATCTTTATATAAAAATATAAACAGAACATCGACGTTCATTCGAGGAAGTTTTCCTGCTTGAACAGACGATTGCTACTGTATCTACACTGGCGACGGCTGTTCCAGATTGTCTACCCTGCATGATGGTGGTCAGTATAGTTGGTCGGAGTGAAAAACGTTTTCATCATATGTATATGTATTGTACTGTATATAGTTATTTCATAGCAAATAAATATAAAACTGAAAATGTAGTGGAATAAATTAATGGGAGTATTATTGCATGGGTATTAACCATTTCTGTCCTGTCGTTGAAATCAGTCGTTGTTCCTAGGCTAGCAACAATTTATTTTAGTTTTCAACTGCGCATATTTGTAGATTGAAAACTCTACTGTATATTATTGCCAGACTGTAAATTTGTAATGCTTAAAATGAGAAGAATCTATTAGCCCGGAATCAAATCAGTCGTGCTTGCTAGACGCAACTGTCGCAATAAAAATCTTCATTGAGATTGTAAAGTGATCTTACGAATAATGACAATTTTTATCTCATATCAGCGTATCGGTCGTAACCCTGTGGATTTCACGAAATTGAATATATGGTCCAAGTTGTAATATATTCCTGTTTCCTCAACCATTGCCACACCTTCGGGTACTGACCTCTGACATGCGTTATAGAAAGTGATAACAGAAAGTAAAGACAATGTATATAATCGACGAGATCAGTCTGTGGTCTGACTCGGTAGGAGGGGCGATAAATGCAACAGACATAGAAAAGACGAGTTTGTAGAGACTGGAGAGGTGACTTGAATACAACTCGAATATATTATCGATGTTATTGGCGGACTTGCAGGGCTTACTGGCGGACTTGCAGGGGCGTTCTCAGACAATACTTGACTAGTGAATTATGAGCAATGACATACGTTGCGTAAAACATATTTATTGTTTTGTTAAATCTAAGATAACATCTTCTATATGACTTGCCGCAAGCATTTCCTAAATTTCGTGAATATGTTGTAAAGTTATTTCGAGAATGAACAATTCTGGCAAATGATTTAAGAATTGTATTAAGAGTGATTCAAGGTGTGAGGTCTCAGCTATCAATTATTGGTGGAATATGAGAATACAAAATCTTGATATATTAAAAAATGTTGAAATATGTCATCTTACATCAAATCTAGAGCGAAAGAATTTGGTTATTGGGTAATGCCATGAACGTCAATACGAAATGAACTGAGAAGGTTATAAACATGTTCTATGAAGCTGAAATTATGAAATCTTTAGAAAATTCAAACAATATCTTGTTCCAAAGTGACTGACTGTTCAATTTATCTCGGCAAGAGAGCGACGCGTGCTTGTATTGATTACATTTGTTCACTTTGTGATAAGATTCGTGCCAGAGGGGTTGCAAACATACAATGAAATACACTTGACGCGTTCGGCTGATAGACATATGCAAGCACTCAACAACAACAACTATTTATTTACGAAATAAACCAACTATCTTGCGAAATGGGGCAAATACAATGATAAAACTATTGCCTCGCCCCAGTAGGAATAATACTCGATAGGGTAATGGTTCATGGTATTGTTTATATTCTTGGCAAGATGGCGGCGTGTACTTAATAATATGGCTAGGGACATTACGGACATACTGTATAGACCAGGCTTAGCAGGCTTTTATACAAGACTCCTTGCATCGATGTAAGTAGTTGTTTATATTTAGACTCAACCAAACGTAAAGTATATTAAATGAGTATTGTAAATTAAAGAAAAGAGAGAAAAATTAGAAAATCTATAAACAGTGTAAAGAATTACATTGTATAATTTACTCATTATTTGAATTATTTGTAAAAATTTTATCCTAATTTTAAAAGATATTACAGGGTGTAAGTTTTTAGACCTTTTTAAAGCTTGATTCTAGTCCATTCCAAATATCAACTTTTTATAAGAAAGAGTACGCTTTATTGCTTTACATAATTTGTTCATCATCACGAATCAATGGAATGTTCCATATATAAAATCTTATATAGGAATATAGCTGATGATACAGTATTTCCAAGAAATTACCTAAGATGTGATTAAATGCTGTAGTCTACAATCTTTTATCTTTATTTTTACTCTTAACAATACAGTATACTCTGAAACTTTTATAACTATTTTTTTTTAATCTGTGGTTTCATCTATATATACATATATATTAAAGCAACTTAGGTACGTTACTTTTAATTAATATTTCATGGAAGATATTTATATGAAGATGTGAAGCTAAGAAGAGTTTGCCATCTTTTGCCACACCGTCAAATGAACAGCATGATAAAACGTCTTTCTGGTGGTAAAACTGTCGGAATACTGTTTATGTTGAAGCTATTGCAAATCAATCAGATTATATCTTTAACAAAAACACGCTGTATTTGGTTAATGATGATGTGCTCTCAATAGTTTTTGTACTGTACGAACTGGTAATCATACTTATTTCAGATGAACATATTCATGAAAACATACAGTACGTATAACTTTATAAACATATTAGGATAACAGCAACAGAATTTGGCTGGTCATCTCTACCTAAATTATATCACATATGTATCATGACCTTTCATAACCCATCGTTCATGTTGCCTTGGTAATTCTTGATATACAGAAGACCACCCGAATATAAATGAACATGGATTATTAATTCGTGTTTATCAAGGCAGAAAATCTCATCTTATGGCGGCAGAAAATCTTATGACGGCTTCGAGAACATAAATAAAGCTACTTAAGTGGTCTTCCTGTTATTTTCGTGACTTTAGTTTCGCAATAAAAGGGATAAATATAATGAATAAGTGACATCATGACTGTCGAAACATGAAGGCACATCTGGCTAGGGTCACTAACACTTTATAATAATCATTAAGTACAGATTACAGCGTGAGACAAAAATAGTGCCTTATGGATTACATTTTTCAATACCAAAACACAAGACAAGTAATTTCCGTCATGGCAAAGAAATTGCACTTCAAAATTATTCAAATTATTCTAGTAAAGCACGCTCTTCGAGAAGTACATGTATATCAATACTCTGAAAAAAGTGTACGGTATTTCTGGAACTTTAAAATCCCTGCAAAATTTTCCGTGGATTTTAATCAAGTCAAAAAAGACTTGATTTTCGGGAATGATGCGATTTCTGGGATTATGAGGATTTTGCCAATTTTGGTAGAGATTATGGGATTTCCAGGGACTTTATTAAGAAATTTTAGGGGTTTTTGTGGGAATTTTCGACAAATCTTGACAGGATTTTTGTGGAATTATTATTTTTATTTCTGAGATTTTGGAGTAATATATTCCCTCGGCCACTTCGGCACAATAACTGTCCATTATAATTAATAAATTGAATGAAATGAATTGTAAATGGCAGTGTCACCGACATTGAATTAGACAGTAGATCATATCAAACAGATAATAAGATATTGATATTAATTAATGAATATTTCTACGTATTTATATATATATACCAGGTGTCTCAAAAAAAAGTATCGGTGTTTGATTTAACATAATGTAAAAACTATACCAGGTATGGCTTTCAAATAAGTTTATAGTATTAAGAAAATGCTAACCTAAATTTTGGTATACAGTGCTAGATCTTTCATTTCATATTGGGCGAGATATAAATGTTTTAGCCAAAGTTCGGTTTGAAAATTGGCGAAAAAATCGACTAAAACGGCTTATTAAATTTCTTTGAAGACATTTGCTATTTTTTTGGGAGTATTGAAAATTTTAAAGAAGTTAGCTTCAATCTTGTATTATTTTACGGTTTACATAAAATATTTTGACCTTTGGACCTTGTGGGAAATGAAAAATTCGAATGCCAAAGTTCGAATTGAAGCAACAAATCTGGAACGTCCCGCATGAGCAGCAGCCTAGGAATTTGAGACATCTCCGCCAGGCAGTTATCTTAGCGTGCCAAAGTTTAGATGCACAAATGATACAAAGTGCTTTTTCTGGCATGGTTAACAGAGCATGACGTTGTACAGGTGTTCAAGGACATGCTTTTTCAGATGAATAAATCATCGAATGTGAAAATATTCAGTATTTATCGTGTGTTGTGTTGACAAGAACAGCATTAAATTAAATGTTAATTTGATAGGCCGATTTAATGTAATTTTGAGCATTTTCAAAATTGCTTCTTCGAAATGAAACTGTAGCATTTCATTCAATATTGTTCAAATATCTTCAAGTCATATATCAAAATTTAAGTTAGGCCTTTCTGAATTCAGTGAAGTCTATTTGATTGAAACTCCTTGTCCAGTTTTAATGGTATAACAAATCAAACACTGATACTTTTTTTTGAGACACCCGGTAGTAAAATTGTTTTGAAATATATTTGTTTCTCCTTAGTGTATAACAGAACATTCGTGACTCATCTGCAGTGGCGGATATTCACTTCAAAGCCTCCTAAATTTCCGACAAAACTCTCAAATTTCCGACATAACTCCCATTTGCAACCGAAAAGACTGTTTTTAGCCCTCTTTTAGGTCAAAATTTCCGAAAATTCGTCAATTTTTCGTGAAGGGGCCGCCCCCCCCCCCCAAGATTTCCGCCACTGCTTATATGTTCGTTCACATGGCATGAGAAGAAGAGAATCGCACTAGAAAAAGAAATCGTAGCAAAAATTGCAAGTTTAAACGGGTGTTTTTAGTTGGTTGAGGATTGAATCCACAATCTCAGAGGTGAAAGGCACAATTGCTATGACAATTGCCCCAACGAAGCCCCTTTTAGCTTTAGCAGTGCCGTAGGAAGCTCTTTTTTATTGGGGCCCGAGGAAATTTTTAAATTTAGAGTCTCTGAAATGCCATTTCCTGGACTTTGGGGAAGATTTGACAGAATTCTGTTGGTCAGAAAACAGCGTTTTAGTATGCCGAAATTTACAATTTAGCGTTTTAGTATGTCGAAATTTACAATTTGCTTACAATTTAGTAGTACGAAATGGGCGAAGGCGTATTTAATTTACTATATATTGGATAAGTTGCAGGAAAATATGGGTATTATCTTCATTCTTTGCAGTTTGGCATGTACAATGTAACCGCTTGAAATTAATCAATTGTCAGTATTTTAAAGGTATATTATTTAAATGAGAAAAGAATGATTATTAGCAAATTAGGTTTCGTTGTGTTTAGAGGGTTAGCTTTATGTCGCTGATCTTTGCTTATACTTAAATGCGACATGTGTGAAGCAGTCGAAGCTTATGAAGTCGGTAACGTCTCACGCCATGGGGGACAAGAAGTGAACAACCAGGATTGAGAGGTTGAAGTTTTCCATGGCGCAGGGGGGGGGGGGTAATTGTGAATGAGTAATTACAGTGGTACATTATTAAGCTGATTCTCAGGTAAATTATGACAGCATTGACTGGAGAATTTTAGATGCATTTCCGGGCTTTCTGAGGGTCTAAATATTAAAAAAATTTCCCCAAACCGCCATTGCATATTTTGCCACGTATCCCATTCTCCTAATATATTTTGGAACGAAACTCCTGCTACTTGAATGTACTCCTGAAAAAGCCAAACTAAATTTGAAAAACTGCTTTTACCAGGTAATTTGAATCCTTACACCCCCCGCCCGCTCCAACGACAAAGTCTTCACTTTGTCCCTACAGACCCCGCTCCCTTGTTTTGTCTTGAACCAGTGTATGTAGCATTCTTCATTACGGCTGTCTTCTTTTACGCTACTTCTTATTTCACACGT